GTTCCCGATCACTGGCGGAGCGAGGTGCGGGCGCAGCACCGAGGGTTGCGATCCCGTTGCCGGTCCCGGTCCGGTACGGGTGCGACACTGAGGGGTGCGATCTGTTGCCGGACACGAAAAAAAAAAAAAAAAAGGACAAAAAAAATAAAAAAGAAAAAAAGAAAATAAAATAAAAAAGAAAAGTTATGGGCCGGCCCGGTGGCGCACTGCTACAGTGCGCAGCTTGGGAGCGCGGCGGCGCTCCCGACGAGGGTTCGGATCCCACATACAGACCGGTTCCCGCTCACTGGCTGAGCGAGGTGCGGGCGCAGCACCGAGGGTTGCGATCCCGTTGCCGGTCCCGGTCCGGTACGGGTGCGACACTGAGGGTTGCGATCTGTTGCCGGACACGAAAAAAAAAAAAAAAAAGGACAAAAAAAATAAAAAAGAAAAAAAGAAAATAAAATAAAAAAGAAAAGTTATGACTGCACTGAAATCACTGAACTAAAATTAGTATAGCATATTAAGTGTTTAGGGGTGAAATCTACTGATGTCTGCAACTTATTTTGAAATGAATCAAAAAAGTTGGATAGATGGTTGGTTAGAAAGATGAATAAATACACAATAAAGCAAAAAGAATGAAATGTTAATATATAATCTAGGTGGTGGGTATATGGTGTTCACTATACAATGCTTTCAACTTTCCTACTTCATTAATAATTTTCAAAATAAAATGTTGGGAGAAATTAATGTAGCATAAGTTTATCTTCTTCACCTATTACCATACGCTCAATTCTTTGTCATATTTTCTTCTTTGCAGCTTGGACGTGTTATTTCATGTAAAGGCAAAAGCAAAACATCAATAGATGTCTGTTACACAAATGAATAAATGAATGAAAGACAGGGTGCTATGAAGTACCTCAGCCCAGAACATACTCATTCAATAAATATTCACAGGTGAAAAGTTTCTTTTCAGCCCAGTGACCTGATTCAGGAGCAGGAAAATCCACTTTTGTCCTCAAAAGCCATAGGACTCTGAGGAAAGATTCTTGGAAAGGCAACTGCGGCACCCATGCTACATAAAGGAATGTTGGCAAGAATTCCAAAGAAGGAAGAGAAGCTTTAGGGACCAGTGTGACCCGGGCACTGAGCCTGGAAAAAGCCAGCCACACAGGGAGAGAGGCCAGAAGTGCAGCAGGAGGGCCCTGGGAAAGCTGATTTTTCTCCTACTTCATGTCCCATTCAGGACAAGCTACCTAATTGGCAGGGCCCATGCAAAATGAAAAAAAAATTTTTTTTTTTTTTTGTCTTTTTTTGTGTCCGGCAAC